CAGTACATCTTTGTTAACATTCGTGCACTTTTATGAGACTAATGTTGAATATTTGAAAGATGAATGGGTTTGGTGATTTAAGGTGGACACACGTTTCTGAAACAGCAGAGTATAAACATCTCTGGAGCTCTTATTGATCCACGTATCGAATCCTTTTTTTGACTTCCACCAGTGACTCATCTGCAGCAAAGCAAACAGTTTGTTTTTAAAGCAAAGCAGAGAGAACAGAGGTGGTCTAATGCTGAGTTACTGAGTCTGAGCAGCTCAGAGAGAGAGAGAGAGAGAGAGAGAGAGAGAGAGAGAGAGAGAGAGAGAGAGAGAGAGAGAGAGAGAGAGAGGGAGAGAGAGAGAGAGAGAGAGACAGAGAGAAAGAGAGGGAGACAGAGAGAGGGAGAGAGAGACAGAGAGAGAGAGAGAGACACAGAGAGAGAGAGAGAGAGAGACACAGAGAGAGAGAGAGACACAGAGAGACAGAGAGAGAGAGAGACAGAGAGAGAGAGAGAGAGAGAGAGAGAGAGAGAGAGAGAGAGAGAGAGAGAGAGAGAGAGAGAGAGAGAGAGAGAGAGAGAGAGAGAGAGAGAGAGAGACAGAGAGAGAGAGAGAGGGAGAGAGACAGAGAGAGGGAGAGAGAGGGAGAGAGAGACACAGAGAGAGAGACAGAGAGACACAGAGAGAGAGAGAGAGAGAGTGGGCCTGTCTTCGTCGCTCTCTGGGAGGGTTTCTTGGAAAGTCTCGGTTCGTCCCGCTCTCACAGCTCTCCTCGTTTCTCTCCGCTTGTTAAAACATGAAGACACATCTGAGTAATTGCTCTTCGTGGATCTCTGAGAGGTTTCCACGATCAGTGATCAGCTAAGCCGTGTTCTTGTTTAACGCCACGTCTCCTGGCTGAACGCCTCAGCGATCAAAAGGCTGGATGGGCCGCGGTTCGACTCCCTCTTTAGACACGCAGGGCTGAACAATGAGCGCGGACGCAGGCAGGACGAATGTTTCCTGGCACATGTTCATCTCTGAGCGCCGGAACACGAGATTATCCTGCCACGCACGTCGGAGGAGGTTCCATCCTCGATGCAGCGAGTGATGCACGTAAACAAACAGAGAGTTCAGGAGGACGGTGGACCTCTGAGGGACCTACACAGTACAGAGACAGAGAGAGGACGCAGATCCTAACCAGATCTGACGGCTGCTGAGGAGACACGAGGAAGACAAACGTCCCATAAACACACAACAGTCACTCCACATATCGGTCTGTAGGAGACAGAGAGGACTTCTGTGGTGACCTCTCAGTGGGAAACATGAATTTAAAATAAATATAACATGAAAAAAAAGAGTTCAGTCATTAGAAAAGTTCTCTCTAGATTCACTTCAGGGAACTTTTATCCACTAGAGTCTCTAACCTGAACTCAACCACGTCTGTTTATCATTATTTTAACTTCTGATGGGAGAGGAGTTCGTTCAAGAGAATCAACCATTTCAGCAGACATCAGGAGGTGCAGACATCAGGAGGTGCAGACATCAGGAGGTGCAGAGGTGAGGAGGTGGAGACATCAGGAGGTGAAGGTGAGGAGGTGGAGATATGAACCCTCTCCTCCATCAGTCTTCACGGTGAACTCTCTGCCCGACAAAAACAAAGACGTTGTTTTTGTCCAGATACTGTAGAAGAGAATTCAGTCACATCATAACTGGATGTTTGTTTACATCCCACCCAAGGCAACGGCTGAAGTTCCATGTGATGTTTTCCATGATACCGTTGCTAGGATACAGACTCTACAACCTGAAGCACTAATAATAATATCAGGAGACTTTAACCACCTCACCCTCTCCTCTCACCTTCACACCGTTCGTTTCCTGTCCCACCAGAGGAAAAACAAACCCTCCATCTGCTGTATGCTAACGTTAAAGAAGCTAACAGCTTTATCACCATGACGATCTGAGCAGGTCGGATCGTCATCACTCGGTTATCTATCTGCAGTTTATCGGAGACTCCAGACTAATCGCTCAGCTCTTCATCTTGTTGGAAAACAAGTTTGTGATTCTGGTGTGAAGGACAGAATCGTCCTTTCTTCAGAAATACGAGGAGACGTAACGGAGCTTTCATCGTCAGCTCTGACCCTCAATTTCCACCGTATCCAGAATGGCTACGAAGAGGTCTGAAGGTCCTGATAAAGACGTGGTTTCCTGCGTGTTAAGTTGGCGCCTCCTCCTGAGGTGACAGCTGAGGTTTGTGATCTTCTTCAGCTGAATGTCAATGTTTGAGCGGTCTGTTGTGAGTGAACGATAATTGGGGATCACGGTCGGTTTCTTTGACGCTGATGAGACGCTGGCAGACTGTGTCATGTGATTGTAAAGAGATTGACAGTTTGACGTGAATGAGCGCGGGCCTGACGGCTCTGTATCGCCTGTGGATGAACCGTGACTTTATAGCTTTGCAGCTGCAGAGAAAGATCTCTGTTCACAGGAAACAGCAAAATAAAAGTATAAGAGAGTAAAAAGAGTTTAAAAATACTGATAATCATGATGCAGGATGATCAGGAGGTCCTGGTTCCTGCAGGTCCTGCTCCTCTCTAACAGAACAGACAGAAATAATCATAACCTGCAGAATTCACAATAGCAGCAGTTCTTTTGTCCTTTTTTCAGAGATTTCCAAACAATGAACATGAAAAAAAACCACAGCAGCTCTGACAGGATTTAATCATCTGAATATTTGAGTGGGTAATCGTTCGACTCACTGAATCAAAGACTGACACTCTGAACGCGTACAAAAGGAGAACGTGACTCACTTCACATCTGTGACTCAGCTCACACCATCGATTCTCCTCCTCTGAATCTGCCGCTTCGATATTCAGGAGGAATTTCAACAAACTCTGCAGGTCTTCCCTGAAAAACTCGTTCCTCCTGGACCTGGAGCTGAGAACAACCCTCTACTCTTAAAAACTGAGGATGCAGCATCTATGATTTTAGTCCAGATGTCCAAAAGAAGGTCCGACTTTGATCATAGACTTTACCTGACAAGTTGGAGTTAAAGGTGTTGTAGTCAGGATCAGTTTTTAGGAGAAATCTTGAATGTAAACTCGACCCCTCCCAACCAGTTTTCCCCTCAGCTCCTCCCCTCCCTCTCTTAAGCCCCGCCCACAAACAGACGCTCCTGCTCGCTCGTATCGTTCCAGTTAAATTCAGATATAATACAGATAAATCCTTCAGATCTTTACAAATGGGGCCCAGTCAAGGTGAAAGTCAAAAGCATTGGTGCTACTGTAGATGCCAACAGACTACCAGCAAACACAATGTTTGCAGGACTTCTACAACGAGGATAAAGTGACATAGTCCAGGACCCGAGGGAGGACAGTTTAGCGATGGCGCTACAACACGCTACAGCAGGTCCGTTTGACAAGAAACACTTCTGTTACAGACACTTGTCTTACTTTGTTAAAGCGGTTTACCTGTCCAGCAGAAAGGTTACAGGGTCACCAAGATCCCCAAGCGTCCCCCATGGTTTATGTTGACCCGGCTTTTTAGCTCTTGTCCGGTCTACCTCCGTTTTAAGCGCCCGTTATTACCAAATGTCATCAATAACTAATAACTATTGACTGATATTCAGAGAGTTTTTGTATAAACAAAATCAAAAGATGCTTCTTTAACGGGTTCCTGCCTCCTCCACCTTTAAGTCCGTGTGGTGACTCCAACTTCAGAGTCCTGTTTGATCTGAATTATAATTTATAGATGATCCGTGTTTGAAGGAGAAGCTGAAGTTACAGGATCTGATTCTCTGCTGCTTCTGACACGTCTCCTCCGTTTCTCATGTTCGCTGTGATTTTGTGCTGAGAAGGAGGAGTGTCACATTCTGCCGAGTTTTACACTCTGACTCGCTGAAAACCATCGAGTCCAAGCTTTACGAAACAAACAGTGAGGGGGGAGGGCGAGAGAGAGAGAGAGAGAGAGAGGGAGAGAGAGAGAGAGAGAGAGAGAGAGAGAGAGAGAGAGAGAGAGAGAGAGAGAGAGAGAGAGAGAGAGAGAGAGAGAGAGAGAGAGAGAGAGAGAGAGAGAGAGGGAGAGAGAGAGAGAGGAGAGAGAGAGAGAGTGAGAGATCAGTCCACGTTACTGTCAAAGTGCATTGAAGCGCAACACATTTCTCCCGGGTACATCACTCTCACTCTGATTCTGTGTGTGTGTGTGTGTGTGTGTGTGTGTGTGTGTGTGTGTGTGTGTGTGTGTGTGTGTGTGTGTGTGTGTGTGTGTGTGTGTGTGTGGCCCCGGGCGTTGCACTGAGAGTGTAAAGACTCTGGTGCTGGTCCAGAGGTTACAGAGGGCTGCTCCTGAATCCTGACCTACATCGTGTGAAGACCGAATCTCTGTAACTTCGCCGCCGCGTCTTTACTCTCACACGTGACGTTACGACACAAAACGCCTCTTTCATCATTTTGTCATCGTGCGGACTCAGTATGGACGTAATGACGGCGTGTCCTTCGGGGCGTGAGCTGTCCTTTTCTGTCCCGCGCTGACAGGGCGGTGACACACTGACATGTGACATTGTCTGTTTTATCCTGAGCTCTGGAATGTCAACAAAGAGCCGAGCGACCAATCAGCATTTAGATTACAGTAAAGAAGGCATCTATAACTGTGAATAAACATCTATATCAACTGTCCATTATAGACCCCGCCCACATCAACTCCAACACTAACGACTCTCGACTGTCATCTGAAAAACCCCCGACCTCCACCTTCATCCTGATCGTCTCCTAAAAGGTCGTATCCTCCGATCGTAGCTGATTGTAACCATTCAAGTTAACGTGTCAATTTACACCGACTTCTTTCAAAATAAAATATCCGGCTTCTTTTCAAAATAAAACACTCCGTGTTTCAGGAGGATCGTATTTCACACCATGCAAACGGGCGGAGACGAACAAGTGAAAGGTTTTTAGACGTCATTTCACCCCGATGACACCATGGATGAGGCCAGTCCATTACGGACTACAGCGGGGTGCCGCAGCTCAAGGAAGAACATTTATGATCATTTCTTCATGGAAATACAATCAGACCGAGACGCTAAGACAGAAGAACTACAGCGTCTGTAAAATGATCAATATGGTGATTATTACTTCAAGGAAATGATAAAGAAATGATCATAAATGTTCTTCCTTGAGCTGCGGCACCCCGCTGTAGTCTGTAATGGACTGACCTGAGGTCTCTCTACAAACAAGCGTCTGCTGGAAGAGAGTAGGTGAGTTGTGTTTAGTCTCTTTGCTACAGAAATATTTGTGACGTAAAGCTGAAGTTATAGTCGGGCTGTGGTGTCGTTTCATGGCGTTCAGTATTTCCATCCCCATCCCTGCACTGATCTGAAGCTTCACCATTTCCAACCCTTTAAAAAGATTTTACACTTTTAGAGTTTCATGTTGTGAGACTTTTAAAAAGCCATGAAAATCCGTGTGTCATGGAGGAGAGCAGCTGTGTCCGTTTATTTCATAGTAAATAAAAATAAAGAGCGTCTGCAGAAACAGAGACCTGCAGAGTGACTCCGTCCTGCTCTCCAACCAAACACCGCGGCTCCATCCTTTATCTCTGTGGATAAAAACAGAGGATGAATCATATGCCACGTTATGTAACTCCATTGTAGTCATGCAAGAGTTAGAAACAAAAGAGTTGACTGACCTTGGATTGGAGGCTAAACTCCCACTTTTCCACAGTTCAGTGTTGCTGCTTCTGTCCTTCATCAAACCTGCAGATCGACTTCCACAACATCTCACCGTCGGACTGAAGCTCCTGGAGAAGTTTCTCCACTCCTGGCTCTTCATCAAATCAAACTCACACGTTTATCTTCTGTTTGAGTCTTTGTCTGTTTATAACATCCAAACCCTGACCTGCATCGCTCCGTCTCCTCAGGCCAAAACTCGAGAACCTTCTCGCCACCGACACCGCCGAGAAGAACTGCACTTCGTGGATGAGTATGGCCAACCCATCAACGTGCAGGTCGAGGCCAGAAGAGATCATGGACACAGGAGGCGGCGTTCCCGATGTGCGAATGAGTGCAGCGTCCCGACAGAAAGACACTGGGAGGCCCTGAGAGCCATGGGACTGGTGGAGGGAGAGGAGGTCCAGGGTGAAGCCTACAGGGCGGGGTGAGTGCTCCAGGAGAGCTGCGACACGAGCAGAGAAGGTTTGGATGAGCGAGCTTCTTTACTGTCGGTTATAATGAAAACCATGTGTGCATGTTTAGGCCTGAAGCAGGTGCAGAACATGCAGGAGAACATGCAGGAGAACATGCAGGAGAACATGTAGGAGAACATGCAGGAGAACACGCAGGAGAACATGCAGGAGAACATGCAGGAGAACACGCAGGAGAAGATGCAGTTATGACTTTGCAGGAGTTATGCTGCGTCTGAGTTTCCTCGAAAGTCAGAAGTCGGAGCTGAAAATGACGTCACACCCGAGTTCCCAGCGTTTCAGTTATCAAGTCGGAAAAAGAAAAATCAGAGGCAGAAACAAGATGGCTACGTCTACGATATTTATCTTAGCGCTTGTCTTGTCCGGATATGAGGCAGGCGCTGATATAACTTTCGTAGACTTAGACATCTTGTTTCTGCCTCTGATTTTTCTTTTTCCGACCTGATAACTGAAACGCTGGGAACTCGGGTGTGACGTCATTTTCAGCTCCGACTTCTGACTTCTGAGGAAACTCGGACGCAGCGTTCGCCGTGTTTAGTGTCGTTGATTTCATTCAGAAGAACAGAGCTGCTGAGTGAACGGCGTGAACCGAATCACTCTGAGACCTGATTGGTTTCTTTCTCAGTTCAGTTGAGCTCAGCCTGGCGTGCCGGTCGGGAGAGGAACTGACGCCTTTGACTCTTTGGTGAACAACACACGGCCGCCAGTGAGCGGGCAGGTGGGCGGAGTCTCGTGATTCACTCACAGCGAATGTTTCAATCAGACTGTGAACGAAACGAACGACTTCAGGACGACTTTATTCAGGTGGAGGAGGGAGGGGTGTATCGTGGTTCACTTCCTGCTGAGCAGCGGTTGGTTGACTGAGATAAAACAGGTCATTATGGCGCCTTTACATTAAAACACGTGTTTAAACTTTCCTGATTTAATTTCAGACGATTTAAAGAAATACGATATTTGATATCTTTAAAAGTCTCTGAATCCTCGCTACAGCTGACATCTTTATTTTTAATCTCGCCACTTTTCCAACTTATAAAAGAACGACGACTCGCACTCGTTTAGCGGCGTGCTGCTCGCTGCTGTGTTGTTTCCGCCGACAGACGGCGACACACAGAGAGGTGAGTTTTTCAGGTCGGGGGAGTGATTCTTCCTTCAGGACTTGGCGAATGAACGACACGAGTCACCCACGCTGTGACTTCAACAGCAGGGGAGGGGCTAATGAACGAACTCGCCGCTGTGTCACTCACTGGTTTTACTGCAGCGACAGGACGGGGCTCCGAAACACGGACTGATTCAGTGAACGAATCTTTTTAATGAACGGATCCTAAAGATTCAGTCAAAAGAACGGATCTTCACATCAGTCGTGGTGTAGCTCTTATTTAAGGACACAAACAAACTTCTGCTCCTGCGATCGACTGGGATCAGCGGGGGGGGGAACGATGTTAGGACAAACTGAGCGTGTGTGAAAGTCTAGAAAACATTTTCATCAGCAGGTCGGCGCGGCGGTCGATGGAGTCTCTCTGCGTTCTTATTAATATTCATGAGTGAAAGTTGTTCTGCTGAGACGGCTGTCGGTGCGACACATGCTCCGATGATGATGATGATGATGTGTGTGAAGGCTTTAAACATTCAGAGAGACATGTCACAGGTCACAGGTCACACCACCCCCACTCATCTGAGTGATAAATCCACTCACTTCACTCTGTGGGGGTGAATCTCTCGCAGCGCTCTTCTCTTTGACCTCACCTCTCCTTACTTCCTCCACAGGCCTTTCTATGGTCACATGACTATGTCACCTGACCTCTACTCCACCAGTGGTCGAATGATGATGTCACCTGATGTCTATCCTTCCAATGGCTACCTGCCAAGATCAAATGACCAACATCTGGGCAACAACTACCTTCCCAGCGTCTCCTACAGCTTGGATCACCTGGACAGACTCGACTACCAGGTGGTTCCTCAGTCGCATCACGAGTTCTTGATCTCACTGATCCGCAGATACGATGAGGAGCAAAAGGAGTTAAATTATTTCTGATGTATCTTTGGTTCCTACAGCAGGGCCCAGAGATGCTGCCCTACCAGCCGAACTCAGAGAGCTGCCTGATTGGCTGCTACAACACAGAAGAAATGGAGCCCAAGAATTTTCCCAGACAGGTAAGAATCAAAGTGACGTCATCCACACCTGTGCTGACACAGGAAGCTCCATGAGCTCTGAAGATCTGTTTTAACCCTTCATAACATAAACTGTCTTATTTTACGTCCTCTACAGTCCGACTATCGCCCTCCTTGGCGGTCAGATCGTCACCTTGGTTACCTTCCCTTAAGTGAGCTTGACAGTGGGCTGGGTTGCGGTCCTGATAGCCCAAACCACCGGATACCCCTCTCTGAGGCCGAGACAGATGCTATGTCATCACTACCAGGCCACACCGCCTCCTCCCAAGGCTCCTCCTCCTCCTCCGAGTCTCTAATCTCCTCTGAACCAAGTGACTCGGGCTTTCACAGCGTCAGCACGGGGGAGCACAGACGACTGCATAAGATTCATGGGAGCCACACCCACCGACAAACTCACCATCTCCGGTCAGGTCACTCTCCGAGGGAACAGAGAGGACGCTGGGATTTGGAGTCCATCCCTGAGACCACACCCATGACCCATGCTGGCACACCACAGGCATCCCATTGTACCGTGGGAAACAGTACGACCACAACAGTCCACTTTCACCGAGCTGAGAGGAGTCCCACCTTACCACGCCACCGCTCGCCGCCTTCCCCTTCCATTGGTAAGTAAAGACCTTTTAAACAACCCATCTACACCCCGACCCCGAGGATGGGCCCAGATGTGGACTTTGTTCTTGATCTGCCACCTTGTGTCTGTTTTCAGGTTGTCGTACGGAGCCATGTCAGCGGAGGGCGCTGTGGTTGGAGCAGCATCAGGGAGGAAGGGGAACCATCGAGGCCCCAGGGCGGAGCCGAACGATCACAGATTTGAGTGAAGGGCAGCGCCGCCGCAGAGCCAGCCATCCCAACACCACAGATCCCAACCCTCTGCAGAACGGCCTCCAAAACAGCCACCAAGGGACCGCCGACCACATGACGGGACCGAGGAGCAGGGCCAGCTATCCCAGCAACAGCCACTCCACCAGTCACCTCAGTTTGGACAGAACCAGTCTGACCAACCACCAGAACTCCCTGAGAAGCAGCAAAGGTACCAACCGCAGCAGGGAGGACGACTCGCTCTCCAAGAGTCCGGGATCGAACTCCAGTGGAACGTCAGACTGGCGAGGGATCCAGACTCTTGGAAATCGCACCAGCAACCCTAAAGGCCCCACCGGTCCTCTGTACAGCACCCTCGGAGCCCCTCAGCGTAATCCTCACTCTCCACCCTCCCCTCGCTCCAGACTCTCCAATCCAAAGTCTGCAAGAAACCAGCTGCTCAGAGCCCGAGCTTACCGGTTAGCCCGGGAACGCAGTGAGGTCACGACGGATGAGGAGGTACGAGGGGGCGGAGAGAGGGAGGGCGAAGATGAGGGGGACGATGGACGATGGGCGGGGCGGTACTGGAGCCGGACTGAGAGGCGAAGACATTTAGCGTTGTCGAGGCAACACAGAGAGCGGAGGGGGGGAGGGGAAGAGCAGGGAGGCGGACTCCAGGGGTCGCTGTCATCTCAAACGGTGCTGGAGCTGAGCCACATGAAGCAGAACCGGCTAAGGAACAGTAAGCTGCTTGATGATTGGACGACAGTGGAGGAGCTTCTCACACACGGAACTCGGGTGGAAAGCAACGGTCAGCTGTGTCCGAGTCCTCTGTTATCGGTTACTACTGTCTGAGAGGAACCAGAACTCAGGCCCAGTTTGTTTGATGTCTGCGAGTGAAGCGCTCACATGTGACCAAATTAGACAAACGCCTTTGAGCTTGACAGGAAGTTGTTCCGGAGGTTATCAGGCGTTTCCATGAACACAGTCAGTCTGCACTAAAGAGACATGAAGGTCTGCAGCAGGAGAGACCATCCAACACATGCTGCAGTCCTGGAGAACCTCGGTTTTGGTCCAGGTCTGGACTTTGTTGTTTGCATATTCAAGGATCACCACAACAACAACGAAAGGGTTCACAAGTACTGAGAGGCTGAAACGGAGACCATGAGACCATGAGACCATGAGACCACGTCTTCTGTCCGAGGAGAACACTGACCAAACGCTGGTCACAGAGAGGAGATACTGTGGCTCCAGAATCTGCTGTTCACAGCATCACTGGGATGACGGATCAGTTTCTTCACACACCAGACGGACTGTGACTGGTCTCAAATATCACACATCGATTGTGTTGCCTTGTGACAAAGTGTCTCTATTTCCTTTTCTGGTTTTACTGCCTCTGTTCTCGTCTTTGTGCCATAAAAAGTCAAAGTAGGTTTGAAGCAAACTGAAGATCTGCACCTTAGTGATCAGGCGCCGTCTAAATCAGCTCTTCTAAGGTCGGGAAAAAAGCTTTTTCACGTTGTAGTTTCAAGCGTTAGCTGAGACGACGTTTGTACAAAAACATGAAGCTAAAACCGAGAGGTGGTCTCGATGTCACTCCTATTCACAGCAAAACTCAACTTCTACAGGTGTGTCGGCAAAATAACGAGCAAATTTACTTGAAGTCGGAGTGAAAAACTTTTCCATTTAGGAAGCTGTTGTTTAGCTTTTCCAATCGAGTTATCAACACGCCCTTCCACATGAAGGTGGCAGACCCTCCGTTCACATCGTACAGCGAGGAAACATGAGGGAGGCAGACAGTCGAGATAATGACGGTGTGTTTTCTGTTCCTAAAGTCACTCAGTGTGACTTTAATCCAGCCTGAGGAGACTGTGTTTTCTTTTCTAACAGCTGTTCTCCGACAGGATTCCATGTGCCAGACATATTTGTAGAACAGGATGGATTAAAGTGCGAGTCAATCAGGGTTATTTATGTGTTATACGATAAAACCGTCCGATGCAATTTTGTTAACAATGAAAAAAAGGAGTCTGTTTATTTTCATATTCTGTTTCCATGACGAGAGGATTTCCTGAGGACGGTTCTCAGTTTCTTTCTGTTTGTTCATGTGAGGATGTGTGAGCGAGCGCCTGACAGACGATCGAACGTTTGATACTTACCTGTAAGTCGTGTTTAGCCAAAGATATCGTGCAGTTTGGGTTCATGGACAATCTTCAACTCTCTAATGTAAGAGTCTATTTTATAATCATGTTAGATTTTATACGTACATGTTCTCCTTTACTTTGCCTTGAGATGACTCTTCTGTCCACTCTGCTCGTGTGTTCTTAGGTGTTAGCATACGATCACCTGTTAGCATTAAGAAGATAAAACCACAGTCGTAACCTAGCATGCTAACTCCTAAATAAGTACAGAGCTAATTTCTTGGCGTGCGTCCGTTCTTGTCTTGGAGTTGCACAGACTTGCGTATATATTTGGACAAAATAACCAACTAAATAACCACGCTGGTGCTGCTTACGGCGCATGTCTAATAACTCTGAGAAACTGCTCTGAGCCTGCAGCTGCGCTAACTTATCCTAGCTACGTTCTCGTCTCTGTCTGAGCCGAACAAAAAACAGTCCCTTTAAGCCGAGACGATCCTCCAGAGACTGAAACCACGTTTTAGGAAACTGTGACTCGACTGCTCGGACGTTTTTTTCTTTAAGTGTTTTTCTTTGTTGTTGTTTTGACTGAATCATTCTCATTGTCTTTTTGACGGTCAGATCGGTCATCGTGATTGGAGGATGAGAAAATCAATCTGATGGAGGTGATTTCAGCAGGAGCAGGAGTCAGGGGAGAAACGGCCAAGATTAGTATACAGACTGGAACAAACCTGCCAATAATAATTATAATAATAATAATAATAATTTCAGTTTGAATCCAAGTCTCTGTTTTTGTTTTGGAGTTATTTTATTTAAGTTTTAAGTTGCATCAGTAAAATAATTTTTAATAATCCTGATAATGATCAAAATAATCCGGATCGTGACTTCAGATTAAGTCTTTGGACTAAAACGTCTTTTTGTTTCAGTCACATTTTAGTTATTTTGACCCTTTTTACACGTCCAATATTAAAGGGATATTCTGGCGTGATATTAACTGATGAGGTTGTTCTGAGCATCAATAATTTTACAGCAGAATATCCCTTTAAAGTGTCGGGGAGCTCTGCTGCTGACACAGAAACAGACTCACCGACATGTTTTCCTCTTTTAGTGAAACAGGATCATGTTTTTAAAAAACTGTTACTTCTGCACATAAAAAGCAAAATCAGCGAGACAACGACAGGTCCGACTTTCCTGACAGGGGGCGCCAGAGTCCCCACAGACTGACGGTTCACCTCAGGACCTCAGAGGACAGATTCCAGTCTGAGACTGGATTCATGTTCAGAGTTAAAAACAAACTCGACAAGAATCACAGAAATAAACTTCAGGGACTCCTGATTTTAGGTCCTCGTGAATCCGGTCCTGGTTTTAGTCCTGGACTGCAATAATCAAAGGTCCTGTGGTCTAATGTGGGTCAGCTCTGAGGGACTCTGTGTTTGTGTACACCTGCGCTGTAACGTTCTCTGTGTGTGTGTGTGTGTGTGTGTGTGTGTGTGTGTGTGTGTGTGTGTGTGTGTGTGTGTGTGTGTGTGTGTGTGTGTGTGTGCGTGTGTTTCCATGAACCCTGCGACCTCACAAATGTACATAAATGAAATCTGAGTCATGATGTCCAGAATCTGAGCGGTGCCGAGGAGAGGCGGAGCTGTTTGACGGCGGCGTTCGGAGCTCATGTAAAATGATGTCAGTAAACTGTGAAGTTCAAACCTCCTCGGTGTTTTTCAGCTCTCTGTGAGTCCAAAGGTTAAAGGTCGTTCATGTGTTCATTTCAAACCCTGCAGCGTTTCAAATGAACACATGAACATCTGATCGTCTCCAACTTTAGACGCTCGGCTGACTTCAGTCCCAGAGAGACGGCTGACCCTGAAAACCCTCACCTTCTGCAGCTTTGGGGGAACAAAGCATGATGGGAAAACAGACACATATGCTGCCCCCGACTGAGAGGTCTCACACATTAAAGGAGCAGTACGCAAAATATTCACTGAACAAGATGATCACATGATTAAACTGTTTTTTTAATAACAGCGGAGCGGACAGAATATCCTCCTACAGGGTCTGGACTACGGTCTCATACAGGGTCACAGGTGTCCCTAAAGAGAGGGTCCTCAAGATCCAAGTCCAGATTTAAGGTGTTGTAGTCAGGATCTGAGTTAGTTCCAGTTTTTAGGAGAAATCTTGAATGTAAACTCTACCCCTCCAACCAGTTTTCCCCTCAGCTCCTCCCCTCCCTCTCTTAAGCCCCGCCCACAAACAGACGCTCCTGCTCGCTCGTATCGTTCCAATTAAATTCAGATATAATGCAGATAAATCCTTCAGATCATTACAAATGGGGCCCAGTCAAGGTGAAAGTCAAAAGCATTGGTGCTACTGTAGATGCCAACAGACGACCAGCAAACACAATGTTTGCAGGACTTCTACAACGAGGATAAAGTGACATAGTCCAGGACCCGAGGGAGGACAGTTTAGCGATGGCGCTACAACACGCTACAGCAGGTCCGTTTGACAAGAAACACTTCTGTTACAGACACTTGTCTTACTTTGTTAAAGCGGTTTACCTGTCCAGCAGAAAGGTTACAGGGTCACCAAGATCCCCAAGCGTCCCCCATGGTTTATGTTGACCCGGCTTTTTAGCTCTTGTCCGGTCTACCTCCGTTTTAAGCGCCCGTTATTCCTCCAGAGTCTCCGGTATTTACTTTGTTTTCTTGCTTGTGTCGGCAGTCGTGGCCAAAGGAGGATTCAGACAATTTTCCGAACTTTCTGGTTGGTTTCTACTGTCCGATATTGTAGCACGCTAACTTTGTTTGGGCTCCTGAACGACACGGGGGAGCAGCGTCTGCCTCACAACCAATCAGGTTAGAGGAGGTGGAGAACGGCTTTGTTTACAGTCAGAAAGAGCGGACCGCTCAAAAATGTTCAAATGTTGACGACACAGACAGAAGAGAACACAGAGATATCGATATATTACCAAATAATCAATAACTAATAACTATTGACTGATATTAGAAGATTTTTTGTTTATAAAACACAAAATAAAAAGATGTTTCTTTAACAGACTCCTTCCTTCTCCACCTTGAATCCACAAAGATCTCAGAGACTCTGAATGTCTTCTGCTGGTTCAGGAGGTGATGATAAATCTTCCTTTAAAGCTCCTCTAAGAAGTTTTTTGACGTCTCTGAGATTCATTTTGATGAAACAGAAAATCAAACTCAGTGCTCTGAGGGGGCGGGTCCGAACTTTGCAGCTGAAGAAACATCGTCAAACATCGTCACGATAAACTCGTGACTCTTTCAGTCTCAGTCTTTGATGTTCCAGCCGTGACGTAAATCGAGTCTCTTCATTCAGACGAGTTTGAGTTAAAGACCCGGTTCTGGAGGTGCCGGTCCAAAACTCGTTTCTAACTTTTATTACTTCATAAACTCTCAGGTTTGGTGGATCCTGGAGTGTGAAGTTCTGGTTCACCAGGACACAGTTCTAACGGTCTTTGGTTTCATGAGGATCCAGAACCAGGTCCTCGGTCTCAGTCCGAGTCCTGATCCAGGTGTTGAACCTCTCTGATGAGCTCGCAGAAACACCGACTGACGATCCTCTCAGTCTGGAACTACTCTCCACTGACAGCCATGTTGGCTCTATAGCCCCGCTCTGTGACCGTTGCTATGGCAACTGATGTTTCTACAGCGGCTGATGTCTCAGCTCTTGGCCTTGTCACCATGGTGATGTTTTGTGGAGGATGATGGGACTTATTTACAGCTGACAGACGTCACCTGTGCTGAGAGACGAGCAGCAGGAACCCTGAACTCACCTGGACCGTCTCTGAGGCGAGTTTCCAGAAGGTTCTGACGAGGATTTCACTGATTTCAGGTCCAGACGCTCTTCAGAGTCAGTCTGCAGGACGGACCAGCAGGAGGAGTCTGTGTTTAGAGACTCATGGTTCTCTGCAGACTGCTCTGCTGAAGGTCTTTGACGTCTGACCCCAGATATACGACAGAAAACTGCGTCATCACCTCAGCTTGAGCTGAAACAGGGCGGCCTCTGCTGGTCGGCCTGTGGAACTACAACGACTGGACCAAACCTGACAAGAATCACTGAACCTCACAGAGTTAGGAGATCTCAAAACACACAGTTACCTGCCACAGAGTGTGTGTGTGTGTGTGTGTGTGTGTGTGTGTGTGTGTGTGTGTGTGTGTGTGTGTGTGTGTGTGTGTACAGAAAGGCCTCCATGTTTACTACAGCAGCTCAGAGAGGACAAACTATCAGGAACCAAAAGCGTTTGTTCATTTCTGGGTGTCTGAGTGAAAACAGACGTTAAAAACACAGAGGAGATGTTTCTTCAGGAGGTGTCAGGACAGAAGCTCTGATTATTGATGGTCTTTACTCCCCGGAGAGTTTCAGGATCTCCACCTTTCTAAGTTTCAGCAGGATAAATAAAGGTGTGAAGGTGGAGGAGATATTCTGGGCTGGTTTAATGTTTGCAGAGACAAAGTGAGGACAGGAGGAGGAGGAGGAGGAGGAGGAGGAGGAGGAGGAGCTGTTAGAGCGCTGATCTGTCCGGGTTGACTCATCGGTGAAGAAAATAGAAACAAAAGTCAGGAGGTGGAGAGGAACCGGTCTGAGCGCAGAGACAGACATTAAAACAGACGAAAGACTCGTTTTAAATTTAATATGTTTGTACAACGACATCAAAACTGGGAGAAATGAAACACACCGAGTAACTTAAAGGGATATTCCGGCGTAAAATAAGGTTAGGGTCAAACCCACCGTAACCCCGAGTTAGACCCCGCCTCCAGAGATGAATGTTGTCGACCGCTTCCTTCTCTAGTTATACCAACTTTAGTAACGACCGCAGGATAGACATGAGTCAAAGTTAAAAAGATGTTTGGTGTCTGTGACCCTATATGTCCTGTTGATGAACATTCATCTCTGGAGGGGGGGGGTCTAACTCGGTGTTACGGTGGGTTTGACCCTACATTAATTTTACAGCAGATTATCCCTTTAAAAACAGACTCTGTAGTTGGAGTTCAAAATCTCCTGTCCTGAGGTAAATTAAAATCTAACACTCTTTTGGAAACTGGACTGACTGGAAATCTGAGTCTACGTTCACTCTGCAGGTTATGATGTTCTGTTAATCCGATCTTTTTGTGCGGTCGTTCACGTTACAACAACGAATGTGTCCGTGAAGTGACCCTCATGAACACAAAACACAAATATCTCCCCGCTCCTGTTTGTGTTGTTGAACAATGGTGACGTTTGTTTCATATCGATGACGTAAAGGTCGGATAAACTCGACCTGAGCGTCACACTGCAGTCACATCAGATACATATCTGATTTATATCCACATACAGAAGAGGGTCGGATCAGAACCAATCAGAACTGACCTGTTCACACTTAGAGGAAAACATCAGATCTGAGTCACAGATGGTTAAAACATCAGAATGACCTGCAGTCTGAACGTAGACGTAGATGCTGCATCTTCAGTTTTAAAGAGTTGAGGGTTAAAATCATCATAAACGACAAAAGAGGAATCTAGAATCTGTAAAATATTTATTCCATAAAATATACTCGTAAATATGTACTTGTACACAGCTCTATGAAGAAGTCCGTTTAACACTCGTTTATGTTTAACTCTGAATTTAGTGGAAATGCAGAAAATCTCAGAAACACGTCAAGCGAAATATAAAAAAGTTCTTTCAAAGAAAAAGAAAAAAGAGAATCTTCCCAGAAATCACAGATGATCTTTGTAAACAGTCTCTGGAGTGTTTCTTAGTGAAGGACCGACACACTTAGATCCTCAGAGTCTGAACATGAACAACCACAGATATCAGAGTCACAGTCTGACCACGTCTGCAAATACAGGAGAATCAAATCTTAGACTTATTATGGTTCAAATGTCTCGTTAAGGTTAATTAAGTCCAGAAAAAATGTCTGATTTCAGGACATTACACTCTCAAAAGGAGGACTGAATTATTGTGAGGACTTTAAAATAATCTGCAGATGAAATTTACTTTTAAAAGTTTGTTGAATTAGGAGTTTAAAAAAAGATGGATGCAGTGATTTTGCCTCATTTCCTCCAACAGTTAGAGCTCCCCCTGCTGTCTGGCTGCGGTCGTAAGCCCCGCCTCCTCCATGTTTGAAGACTATGAAATCAAAATAAGACATTAAATATAACTTTTGACGTCTCAGTTCGCTCTCATCACACGGATATTAACAACATGATGACTGACAGCTCTGTGGACCAATCAGGTTTCAGGTTTTAGACGCTCTGATTTATAAAGTCGGAGTAAAATCGGGTTTTCCACGAGTGCTTATGGATAATATGGAAACTGGTTTAGTGAGGTCCTTACGGGACAAACGTTGGTGCTTCTGAGACCTGCAGGTATAGATCTATAGAGAATAGATATTGATGAACGCCGTAAACAGAGTCTGAGGAGCAGCAGAGGAGGACAGATTCGTCACTGTTTTCACGGCGTCGTCTTCTCCCTTTATAATCACTGTTTTTTTTTTTACACCGGGGTCCAGCTGTTCAACAGGTTAGATCTGGATCACATAGATTCAGAAACCAGGAGCAGCAAATCAGGATGAATCTGAGCCTGACTGGATCAACCTGACCCAGAAACAGACTTCACCAAATCCAGATTACCAAAACTCAGAGCGGGACTAGGAGCTCGGGCCGCGACCACGAGTTTATGATCGTTCATGTTTTCATTCTGGAGCTGAACTGATGAGGAGTGAGACATCTTACCGCCTTCCTGTCTTTGCTGAGAGTGGAGCTCTGAAGTCGAACCACCACATACGTTCAGGAAATCGCAGCATTAGCAGCTTCGATTCCCGACCACGACACTTTTCCACACGCTGTCCGAACTCTCTGCACCCCTTTCTACTTCCTGTCTCTCTACAGCTGTCCGATCTACGTAAAAAAACTACCTACAAATACAACAAAAACAAAACACAATCCGATTAGTTACAGCTCTAATATGTGCTGCATGCTGTGTCCACAGGAGGCGCCAGAATCAACAAGAACTGAAGATAAAAATAGACCTGATTTCCAAGTCCAAGTTTTGGTAATCCTGGAGTTTTTATCAGGATCAAAATCCTGAATTATTTGTTGATTTTGAACAACTGGACCTCGGAGTGAAAACCTTTATTATCCATCGACGGCTCGGGTCGACTGAACCCAAACCCACGTGAAAACACCGAAGAGCAGCAGATTCCTCCTCCACGTGTGAAGCTGCTGTAGACCGTGCAGGTGGAGGAGGTGGAGGAGGAAACTTCGGTCGGTGTTTCTGAAATGCCTCTTTAACTGCTGAAGGTACAAAAAGCTTCAGTTTCAAAAGTGTACGAACTTTTATCTGTGCGTCCTCCCCGAGCAAACGGCGTTTTAAAAGAAGGACATTCATATGTTGATGATCAGATTATTCTTCATGCAGCTGATTTTTTAAATCAGGAAATAATTCAGAATTTTTTCCACTCAAACTGATTTTTTGTTTTGGCTGCAGAATTTTTGTACAAATCTAAATTTTTCGTTTTCAAACTCAAAATCCGGCGTTTTCTCGTGAATGAGGCACAAATCTGAGGGTGTGATGAACGATTTAAAAAGTGCAAAAAGTCCCTTTAAAGAATTCACAAAGACGTGTCTGTGATCAGGAGGAGAGAGGTTTAAAAGCTTTTTTTAAAATCTACTTAAAGTGCCTCAAATGATAATTCTTTAAAATCTGTCACTGAAGGTCGGACTGAGAAACGCTTTAAAATGTTTCAGCTGTTTCTGCGGCGCTCTTCAAGACGCTCAGAAATAAAGAAAATAACCTTATAAACTTATTTAAGCGACGCTCTCTTTTCCATCACTTCCTTTCATCGGCTTCAGGTGACGGCTCACAGCAGGTGTGACGAGATTGGCGGGGACGTGGAAGAGGTCAGGAAGTTCACGGGAGTTTGTCACCGCGGTGACGAACTGTGAGTGAAGATCGCAACACCTGAAACTGTTTTAAAGACTTTTTTAAATTTGTATTTCATGATTTTAGACTCACTGCACACAGACGTAAATAAGCGCTAATAAGGGTTGAAAACGCTCTTCTGGTCCGAGTTTGATTCATGACAAATATTTAGAATATTACTGAGACGATGAGTCGGTCGGTCTGAAGTTTATCTACAGTTTATATATTTTTCATAACTTCATAAAATTTTTTTAAAAATCGGCCAATTAATCGGTAATCGGATTCCCCCCCATCTAAGAATCGGCCCCAAAAATTCGGTCGGGCTCTACTGTGTTTTATCTGCAGTTTAATGAGATTTTTTTTTTATTGGATATTTGACTTTTTTAACGAGTATTTTTGTCTGAAAAGTGATTTTCACTTGAACAGCTGATTCCTCGACTGTCTTAAAGGTCACATGACTGAACCTCATGAATATTGATTCAAAAATGACCTCATTGATCGATTACAGACTCGGTTAAGAAACTGAATTATTGATTTTTTGTGCAGAGCCTAACAGCGCAGCTTATCGTGACATAATACTGATTTATTTTGGTGTTTTTTAACCTTTTCGTTCATAATCGGCGAGTACGCCGTCAGGCTGAGGTCACGTGATTGTACTCGGCAGTGTGTGTGTGTGTGTGTGTGTGTGTGTGTGCTAACCCTCCCCTTCGCTCTCCTCAAGGTTGTGTTTGACCAAAAATTCCTTGACAGTTGGCTGATTGTCAAGCCCCGCCCACTGTTCCTCCAGCTGCTGCAGAAGCTCCTCCCACTGCCGCTTGTCTCTCCCCGTCTGCCACGACAGTCGCACGACCGCCCGTAACAGCGGCAACAGGAGGGGGTGTGGCGTGTCGATGTGCAGCTGTGACACGTCCTGCTTTTCGCTGAGCGTGTGCGGCTCGTCCTCAAGGGGGAGGGGCTTGTCGTCCGTGTTAGTCTGAGAGTCTGCGGGGGTGAGAACACGGAGAGCGAGGTCGCAGTGATCCCTCGCCTCCCCCAGCTGGTCCACTTCCTGGAAACAACACGACAGCCCCACCAGGGTGAAGAACCAATGAGAGGAGGCAGGGGGTGTGGCCTGAGCCTGGTTGTCATAGTAACTTGTCCAGCCTAGTTTCTCTTGCAGCCTCTTGGCGTTGAGCAGCGGACCCAAGGCCTCCTGATACCGTCCCACCCTCGAAGAGACAAAACAGACTCAGCTTAGAAACCATGGAAACCACAAAAACTTTAAAATAGAATATTATTAAAATAAAAAACTTTAAAATAAAATATTAAAATAAAAACCTTTAAAATAAAATATTAAAATAAAAACCTTTAAAATAAAATATTAAAATAAAAACCTTTAAAATAAAATATTAAAATAAAAGCCTTTAAAATAAAATATTAAAATAAAAACCTTTAAAATAAAATATCAAAATAAAAAACTTTAAAATAAAATATTAAAATAAAAAACTTTAAACATGCAGAAACCACAAAAAACTAAAATAAAATATTATTAAATCAAAAACCTTCAAACACGCAGAAACTATTAAAAACTTTAAAATAAAATATCAAAATAAAAAACTTTAAAATAAAATATTAAAATAAAAACCTTTAAAATAAAATATTAAAATAAAAGCCTTTAAAATAAAATATTAAAATAAAAACCTTTAAAATAAAATATCAAAATAAAAAACTTTAAAATAAAATATTAAAATAAAAACCTTTAAAATAAAATATTAAAATAAAAGCCTTTAAAATAAAATATTAAAATAAAAACCTTTAAAATAAAATATCAAAATAAAAAACTTTAAAATAAAATATTAAAATAAAAACCTTTAAACATGCAGAAACCACAAAAAACTAAAATAAAATATTATTAAATTAAAAACCTTCAAACACGCAGAAACTATTAAAAAACTTTAAAATAAAATATCAAAATAAAAAACTTTAAAATAAAATATCAAATTAAAAACCTTTAAAATAAAAAGATTATTAAAATAAAAACCTTCAAACACGCTGTAACCAAAGTTTTTGAAGACGTGAGCAGACAGGAGAACCTTTACAGCTGATTTCAGAGGTCAAAGGTCAGATGTTCATGACCTCAAGCTCCAACTCTGCAACAAAAACTAACCATCTGTTTGGGATGAGGCGCTCAGGAGGCGCTCAGGAGGCGTTCAGGCGCTCTGCCTGATCGTAGGTCATCAGAGACTTCAGTCCCACCCGTATGACTTCATCTTGACCTCATCCTCAGTGAGGATCTTGTTCAGACCGACTCCCCTCCTGTTGGATTGTTAACGCTCGTTTCCTTCGGGACTCTGAGCCGTGAAATAAAAGATTAACTGTCGTTGTGAAAGGATTGTGATCTGGGCCTGATGTGAGCAAAGTTCAAACTTCCTGCGTGTTCATGAAGATCATGAAGGCTCGACTGGAAAATCTGCTCTGATCAGACGGATCAGGAGGATTTCCAGTCTGAGTTTGTAGGAAAAGTGGCTTTGACCGAACCGTGTCTGGAGACGAGGAAGTCGTCTTTAGCAGAGGTCTGCAAAAACAAAGACCTGCCACCTGGTCCTATAACAGACGGAGGGAAGGAAAGAAGGAGAGGAGGAGAGGAGGAAGGAAGGATGGACGAGCGAGGTGACTTTACATCTTTGGACCTCAGGACTGATTCAGAGTAAAGGGCCTATGAAAGACCCCGGAGCTTCACAGTTTCACAGATTACTTCCTCACTTTTCTCATCAGCCCCTCCCTCTTTTTTCAGCACGTTAAGAAACACGCTGACGGTTCAGAGAGGACAGCAGGTCTCCGTCCCGTCAGTCCAGCTGGAATCTTAGAAAACTTGGACTGATCAGAAATGACCGAGCTCTGACTCACTGGTCTGTTTTCGGTCCTGAGGACTTTCTCTCACAGAAAGACGCTCGAATCCAAATATAAAAACAGGAATCAGAAAGAGGATGTTGGCGTTCCACGAAGAAAGGAAGTGAAACTGAACGATTAATCTGGATTTATGCTTTTATATCCAAAGAAGAAGAAGAGGCCGACTCCCGACAGACTTTAGATCTCTCTGTTTATTCGTGAAATGTCCCTTTAAATGTGTCCTCAAACCCGGGTCAACATGGGCCAACGTGGGTCAACGTGGGCTCCAGGTTTCAGTCTCCGAGGACGAGACAGTTTGGCTCTAATTAAAGCCTGCCTCAAATAAAGACCTGGAACAAGACTGGACCTCTATTAGAGGATTTACGGTGTTCAAGTCTGTGTGTGTCTGTGTGTGTCTGTGTGTGTCTGTGTGTGTGTGTCTGTGTGTGTTTGTGTGTGTCTCTGTGTGTCTGCGTGTGTTTGTGTGTGTCTGTGTGTGTCTGTGTGTGTTTGTGTCTGTGTGTCTGTGTGTGTCTGTGTGTGTGTGTCTGTGTGTGTGTTTGTGTGTGTTTGTGTGTATCTGTGTGTGTCTGCGTGTGTTTGTGTGTGTCTGTGTGTGTTTGTGTGTGTGTCTGTGTGTGTTTGTGTGTGTGTCTGTGTGTGTCTGTGTGTGTCTGTGTGTGTTTGTGTGTGTCTGTGTGTGTTTGTGTGTGTGTCTTTGTGTGTCTGTGTGTGTGTCTGTGTGTGTCTGTGTGTGTCTGTGTGTGTTTGTGTGTGTCTGTGTGTGTTTGTGTGTGTGTGTCTGTGTGTGTCTGTGTGTGTCTGTGTGTGTTTGTGTGTGTCTGTGTGTGTTTGTGTGTGTGTTTGTGTGTGTGTCTGTGTGTGTCTGTGTGTGTTTGTGTGTGTCTGTGTGTGTTTGTGTGTGTCTGTGTGTGTTTGTGTGTGTCTGTGTGTGTTTGTGTGTGTCTGTGTGTGTGTGTTTGTGTGTGTGTCTGTGTGTGTCTGTGTGTGTGTCTGTGTGTGTCTGTGTGTGTCTGTGTGTGTTTGTGTGTGTCTGTGTGTGTGTGTGTGTGTGTCTGTGTGTGTCTGTGTGTGTTTGTGTGTGTCTGTGTGTGTTTGTGTGTGTGTCTGTGTGTGTCTGTGTGTGTTTGTGTGTGTATCTGTGTGAGTTTGTGTGTGTCTGTGTGTGTCTGTGTGTGTGTGTCTGTGTGTGTTTGTGTGTGTCTGTGTGTGTCTGCGTGTGTCTGCGTGTGTTTGTGTGTGTCTGTCTGTGTGTGTCTGTGTGTGTGTGTCTGTGTGTGTTTGTGTGTGTCTGTGTGTGTTTGTGTGTGTTTGTGTGTGTCTGTGTGTGTGTGTCTGTGTGTGTCTGTGTGTGTTTGTGTGTGTCTGTGTGTGTTTGTGTGTGTCTGTGTGTGTGTCTGTGTGTGTGTCTGTGTGTGTCTGTGTGTGTGTCTGTGTGTGTCTGTGTGTGTGTTTACCTGATGAGCAGCTGTGCAGTCTGCAGGTCACTCAGGTAGAAGAACAGTTGGACACACAGCGCCCCCCGCAGGGCTGTGAGGGAGCACAGGTGAGACAGATACTGTTCAAACGCTCGGCTCCGCTTGGCGATCGTCTCGGCCGTGAAGTTACTCCTCAGCTTCTTCCCTGAAAACAGGAAGTGGAGAGACGTCAGAGTTTAACTAAAATAAAAACCGATTAAAAAAATAAAAAACTGAAAACTTTAACGAGCGTTTAGGACGTCTGCTGTCAGTCTGCTGTCAGTCTGCTGTCAGTCTGCTGTCAGTCTGCTGTCAGCCTTTACTATCGTCATCATCCTCCTTTATACTTTAAATCCCTGACATGTAAAACCAGCTAATGTTCCCTTTCAAAATAAAAGCCTCGTGTTCTCAGAGAGTGGAATGAGCTCAGGGTGAACGCGGTCAAAGGTCACAGAAACAAGGAAGTACACAAATCAGGATTATAAGATATCATATGAACTCGACCAGGACCACGGGTTCGAGGTCGCAATTAACCAGCAGAGCTTAGAGAGGCGGGGCGAACGAAGGGAGAGAGAGAGAGAGAGAGAGAGAGAATAAAAAAGGATGAATGAATGTGGAACCAATCACCCTAACTCACGTGGGAAACAGACGCGCTCCATCTGGTCTCCATGGTGACGGCGCAGCGTGGCGTGAAGCCGCTGAAAGTCTGAGTACCGTCGGGTGATGATGGCTGGAGTCTTATCGCTGCCTCCTGATTGGATGACGTGGATGGTGTAGAGCTGCAGAGACAGGCGGAGACGACCGTGTGAAGGGCGAGTGCGTTCAGCAGGTCACATGACCCAGACATGACTGAGGCCTCACTAAAGAGCTGCCCACATGACCTGCAGCACGTCACGCCGACTCACCACATATTTGGACGAGCCGTCCTGGACCACGCTGGCGTCCGTCACCTCGAACATCAAGCTGTCGGTTAGCCGCCTCCCAACAGGCGAGGTGCTTCCTCCGCCAAGTCCTCGCAGGCTTCGCCAGCTCTCCTGGAGCTGACGGGTGAGCAGGGAGGAAGGAGAGGGGGCGACGGGGGACACGCCCACTGGACTGGCGTCTGAAACAGACGGGTGAGAGTTTGATCGATGATCAACGAGAGACTCTGCGGTTTATGACATCAGTCAGACCAGGTGACAAACACGGTAAACACTCACCTGTGCTGCTAAGCCCCTCCTCCATCGACTCTCCCAGGAAGTCAGAGTCACTGTCCAACCCCGAGCCTTCGCCCTCGCCTCCATCCTCCCCTCCTCCTCCGCCGCTGTCGAAGCAGAGAGTCCCGCCGAGCCGGTCGGTCACACACTCCTCCTCCTCTTCCAGCTCCGCCTCCCAGCGGTCCTCTTTAAACTCCTCCTCTTCCTGTGCACTCCCTGCTTCCTGCTCCGGTCCCGCCCCCTGACCATCTTTAAACAACGAGCGCTTCAGACGGTCCAGCAGCCGGGATGCCATGACGCCACCGGGCTCCACGGAGAGGGGCTGTGAAACACAAGACCGTGATTACCCACAATGACCGAGTTACAGTTTCATGTCTGAACCAATCAGAGGAGAGCGCACCAGTCATCTGATAACAGTGACTCCGCCTCCTCTCTAAGGAGTCGAGGGTGCGCTCGGCCCGTCCTCCGCTCTGAAAGAGAATGTTTGATCGATCACAGAGAATAATCTCCACGAATCGCCGTTTTACTCGCTCTTTCCTCTAAAACGGCGACGTTACAATGGGCGAGACCGCCGCCTCCATAATCCAGGTCAGTAAAAGAGAGGAGTGGGTCGTGTTTCAGCAGACTCACAGATCCACATCGGAAACAGAGCCGGCAGAGATGGCAGAGAGCGGAGTTGGCTCACGTTACAGAGCTGTCGGCCTCGCTCGGTGGAAATCATGTCAGACATCAATAATTCATCCAAACTTCAGCCTGAGCTCCTCTGAAGAAGAACTTCCTGAAAACACACCTGAGGGTTCGAGTCACGACCACGACGGACTGACCTCCTGAGGAGAAACGACCTGCTGCAGTGATCCTAACGCTGCTGCGGTGATTTACAGTCAGAGTTATTAAAGTTATCAAGATTTTTACAGCCAGTAAAACTCGTCATCATCGAAAATCTTCACGTCTTTAAATCTCCTGAACCCTCAAACACTAAAATCAGAAACACTGTCACTGATTCACAAAACTACTGACATTTTTACTTTTACAATTTTAAATCAGTTTTTATGTTCAAAATTGATTTTTTTACAAATTTAAGAATGAATAATTCCTGGAATAGTCTGTAGACGATCATAATCATTCAACTTGTTTGTTAAAAATACAGACTGAATATCGAGAAAATCAACAATATCGTAAAATTTAAATAAAAATATCGTAGAAGAATCGAGTCAGGAGAAAAGCGTCTCAGCCCGACTTTATATCGTGTTACAGAGAAACTATAAAGTATGAAAATATGATGTTTTTAAAACACTGTGAAACTCCAGCAAATAAAACAGATATTTAAATATATACTATGATATATACTATATATAATACACTGTACAGATGTTTAAATATATACTATAATATATACTATATATAATATACTGTACAGATATTTAAATATATACTATAATATATACTATATATAATACACTGTACAGATATTTAACCTTGTTAGTCAATATTGAATGTTTAATGGTGTTTATTTATCATTGGTGTAAATGCTTTAATTATCTACCACTAAGATACAATAATGAGTCATTATAACAGTAAGATGTCATTATTGATCACTTTAAGTTTTTATCGTTCCTGTTATTTCAGGTTTAAGGAAAAAGTTTATTCTGAAAGTCATTCTGATGGTTTTTCAAAATAAAACTTTGTTTTATGATTTCAGGGCGAGTAGGAGGACTTTAAACATTCTGAACATGTTTCAACTAAACTGTGATAGTATTGATAACCCCGGTAATATTGATAACCCTGATAATATTGATAACCCTGATCATATTGATAACCCTGATAATATTGATAACCCTGATCATATTGGTCACAATAATCCTGATCTTTAATTTTCATATCATTACATCTCTAATCGGCACATTATCGTCTCTGATACTCAGAGGAGGGAAAGATTTTAACATTTACAGATACAAGATTTCAGTATTAATTTATTAGTGTATTAGTTTATTAGTGTATTAGTGTATTAGTTTATTAGTTTATTATTGTATTAGTGTATTAGTTTATTAGTTTATTATTGTATTAGTGTATTAGTTTATTAGTGAACTCAAAGATAAAAAACAATAAATACTGAGAAAAAAACAATAAAAGTAAAATATTAAAAACGAATAAAAGAGAAATATGGACAAAGGTGCTGAGAGTGAACTGGAGGAAAAGTAAATCCAATATTCTCGTTTAATCCAATAAAGTGATTTAATATTTGTGTTTATTTTCTTTAAACTCAAATTATGATCAAAGTTATCAGAAGTTTCAGTTCTTATTGATATAATCAATAACACAGATAGAAGAGTTAACTCTGTTATCTGAGTTCAGAGCTAAAGTTTGTCAGTAAACCTCTAAATAACTGAAGTTTCTGTGAGTAAAGGAGTTTATTCTGAGGGTTTCTCTCCTCTGTCTGAATGGAGAAGCTAACAGCTAAGTTAGCAGTTAGCAGACATGCTAACAGTTTACTTCAACACTGAAGTTCTCAGATTTACTCTGAACTCTGACGGTTAAAGTCACTCACCCGGACTCTCTCCGCTCTCTTAGTCCATGTTACCGGATTAATGAAGATTTACGGCTCCGGTCCGGACCTCTGGGCTGGACCGTCCTGCTCAGAACTGTCGGGTCCAGCTGACTGAACCGAGTCCTGATTCCTGAAACTCCAGCCAATAGGAGGGGGCGGGGCTTGGCGGAAGTTCGGACAATGACCATAAAAGGAAACGCACTGAAACATGACAGACAGGAGATGGCGCTGTTCAATCAACCAATCAATCAATCAATCAATCAATCAGTCAAACTTTATTTTTAAAGCACTTTTAGACATATAATGTGATGTTCATTTAAACAGGAAATTAAAACACAATAAAATAAAATAAATTCACGGAGTTCATTGATCTGAAAAAGGAATTTCACACAACAAATAATGAAATATCAGATAAAATAGTATCCAGTGGTTTTCTTAAACTGGATCAGAAATAATCAATAAAACAGAAAAACAACTTGTGAAGATCAGCGTACGGAGGAAGAAAAGGGCCACTAAAAAAATAAGGTTTGATGTTTTTCTTCTGACTTAAATCACAGAATTAAAACAAAACATCAGAATTCAGAGAAAAACTTGTTTAAAACTTGAACATTTAAATAAATTATAAATATGTTTTTTAAGTAAAAGTCATTTTTACATGTTAAAGTCATTTTTACATGTTAAAGTCATGTTTCCGACTGATTTCAGATCACTCCACTGACTTTTTTTATATTTATCTATATTGTTCATTTTTTTAACGTGACCTCTCTGTTCCACAAACTCATTTCCCCTCACTCTTTAACCGAAGATAATGACATTTATTCTATTTTTGATTTTTGCGTCACCGGGCCGATCAGATCGTGATTGTGAAATCGGAGCATTTCTGAGACGTGTTCAAACTGGAGTTTAATCGCTGTGGGAAAATACGCCGCAGCCGCAATATTTCAGCCTGTTCTCCCACTTTTACCAACACGACAGAAAGGCAGAATTATGTGATTTTAAAAGGTTTAAAAAAAACTTTAAACACGTTTTAAAAGTCGCTCAGATCCAGTCTGTGTTACCTGAAGAGAAGAACAATCTGTCTTTTCCTACGGGCCGTGAATGCAGCAGTCTCAGAGGGCGTGGCCAACCTGACACAACCAGGAAGGTGTTCAATGACATCATCATCAGCAGGTAACAGCCTCCACCCTCCAGCCTCCACCCTGCAGCAGGAAGTCGTAGTTTTAGCAGTGGACACACACACACACACGGTCGACCCTCGGCTTACCTCTCACCTGAACAGGTAAGAAAACCAGCAGTACCAGCGCTCTGTACTGGGACTGGACCAGTCTGTGTGTGTGTGTGTGTGTGTGTGTGTGTGTGTGTGTGTGTGTGTGTGTGTGTGTGTGTGTGTGTGTGTTTGTTAATAATGTAAAAGACTTTAAAAGTTTCAGACGAGGTTTCTAAAACTGGGAGTGGGGTGTGTGTGTGTGTGTGTGTGTGTGTGTGTGTGTGTGTGTGTGTGTGTGTGTGTGTGTGTGTGTGTGTATTTTCTCATCTATTAGAGAGTTTTGTGGAGTCAACTCTTCATTTTCCGTCTTTTTAATCAGACTCTGTTTTGTTGTAAAATCAGCAGCAGACTCAGACACTCAGACACTCGAACACTCGGACACTCAGACTCAGACACTCAGACTCGGACACTCAGACTCAGACACTCGGACACTCAGACTCAGACACTCGGACACTCAGACTCAGACACTCGGACACTCGAACACTCAGACACTCGGACACTCGGACACTCGGACACTCAGACTCAGACACTCGGACACTCAGACTCAGACACTCGGACACTCAGACTCGGACACTCGGACACTCGAACACTCAGACACTCGGACACTCGGACACTCGGACACTCAGACTCGGACACTCAAACACTCAGACTCGGCTGCAGAGGTTGGAGTTAATTTTTGTTGTTTTTGTTTTTGACCAATAAGAGTTGAGAGAGTTTGTTTTTGTTTGTTTGTTAAAGTCTCACAGTCAGACATGTGTTGGGCTTCAGATCATTTTGCATCATATTATATCAGAGTGAATCACAGTGAATTGTACTTCATGTTGTATTTCAATCTTGTATCAAACCAAATCACAGTCTATAATAATGATTTTAATCACTTCATTTACCAAACAGAGTTACAGAAAACTGAATCTCAGACTCAGATTTATTTATCCATCACATTTAAAAACAGTCAGCGGTCGACCAAAGTGCTTCACAGTAAAATAACCAGAGACAATAAAACAATAAAAACTATAAAATAATAAAACAACAATATAGATACACATAATAATAAATAAAAGACCCCGTAAAAGCAGCTGTACTTCCTGTAAAGCTGAAGTGAGCAGGTGAGTCTAAAACCACCTGATCAGCTGACCCTCTGACCCGGTCCCTCTGGATTAAAGGAGGAGGAGTCAGGAGTCTGTTTAAGAAGTATTTACAAAAATCTTCTAATATCAGTCAATAGTTATTAGTTATTGATTATTTGGTAATATATCGATATCTCTGTGTTCTCTTATGTCTGTGTCGTCAACATTTGAACATTTTTGAGCGGTCTGCCTCAGCTGACAAAAGCGAGGTTTGACCTTTGCGCTGACCTGTTTGTCAAGTTCAATAATAAAACCAAGATTTCAAGGAGCTGAAGAGGACCTGAACCAGGTCAGGGCGACCGAACACATGATAACACATGATAACACATGATACGAGTCTGTGGACAAAAAGATCATAATTATGAGAAATGAACGATAATATTGGAGATCGATGAAGGAGACGTCACAAAGCAATAACCGTATTTCAGGGTTTCATTTTCCACTGATCAGCACAGATTCATATCAGACAGTTTCAGCTTTAAACCGACCGAGCCGACACGTCTTTATGTTTGTGTGAGAATAAACTCAGACAGAGGGGATGACTGACGCCATAATCCCAGATTAAGAGTAAAAGAGGAGCCCGTGTGTCTGTGTTAAACTGGTGGATCCTGAAAGGTGTGTTAGAATTCAACAGTTTCCTTTTTCCTTTCCTCAGAGTTAATCTTTAACTTTCTTTTAGTTCAACTCGGACAAAGTTCCTCAAGGTTCACAAACCTGTTCAAGAGCTGAGAGGACAAACTGAAAAGGTCAAACTGCTCTCTCCGAACACGCCGAGAGGTTTTCAGGCTCTCAGCTCCTCTGCAGCTGTCGCAGATGTTTTCTTCATCTCTGTGGTGCAGCTGCAGAATCTGTTAGATCAGCTCCATGAAGGACGATGTTTGAGGCACGGACGATCTCATCTGCACGTCACTGTTTTTAAACTATGTGAGGATCGAGATTCTTCACAGTCTGAAGACAGATTCAAAGTTTCCTAAAGTTCATCTGTACCTGTTATTTAATCAAACTTTATTCATACAGCACCGTTCATCACAGTTTAGTGTGACTCAAAGCTGCTCAACCGCGAGGAAAAACAAAAAAAAAACCTGAACGACACGGGGGAGCAGCGTCTGCCTCACAACCAATCAGGTTAGAGGAGGTGGAGAACGGCTTTGTTTACAGTCAGAAAGAGCGGACCGCTCAAAAATGTTCAAATGTTGACGACACAGACAGAAGAGAACACAGAGATATCGATATATTACCAAATAATCAATAACTAATAACTATTGACTGATACTAGAAGATTTTTTGATTCTTTAACGGACTCCTGCCTCCTTCACCTTTAAAACACGGAGACGAACAGACAGAAGTTAAAATGAATTAAATGATTTTAAAAGAGTTAAAAAAATAATGTCAGAAATTAAAGCTGTCGTGTTTTCGGCTGCAGCTCATAAAGTCACAAACATAAAATCGTCTTCGTAGCTCTAAAAAAACACTGAGACCTGTGTTTATAATGTATAAATGTAAAGTTCTGAAGGACGTTCATGTCAGAAAAGTTCTTCAGTAACAGAAACAGACCGACTCTGACTTTAGGAGACAATAAAAACACTTTATTATCGTCAGTGAATCTTGAACCTGCGACTGAAATAAAAACCTTCATTCCTAATAAACTGAATCCCTTCACCGACGAGGTTCAGTCTCTCCTCACAGTCTCACGGTGGGATTAAAAACACACTCTCAGCTGCACACACAGTTGTCTCATCCTGAATAATCTCATGAATGTGTGTGTAGAAGTCGAATCACCGAGCTGAAGTGACTCGGCAGGTCTGACCACCTGCAGACCTGGGAGCGGCTCAGAGGCCGTAAACAGACTGTACTGACTCTCGAACCCGAATGAGTCACAGCTGGACGGATGAACCAGCAGACTGACCCCGTATGAGGAGCCTGAACACACTTCTGTCCGTCCGCTCCTCGTTTCTGCAGGTCGTAAACAAACGCTCTGAGCTGCAGGAATGTGTGTTATGTCGGGTCTTTGGTCGTGGCGTGTTTGTAGGTTCGACAAAAGTGTGTGAACACAGAGTCAGGAAGCTGAACGACAGTGAGTGTGAAGAACAGGTGGAGTCTGTCAGTGTTCCAGGATTCTTCAGATGATCCTGTTTGTTCTTTTATTTACGCTCTAAACTCCGTTTATTAATAAACAATAAAAAGAGGCTTCTTTAACTGTTTCCTCCACCTTTAACTCCTCTGCTCTCCTCCTTCTTTTCTCTGTTTCTATGGTGAGTATAAAGAAACACACGTCTCTCATATTTATGATCTGACTTTGTTGGTTCTGCTCGGTCTTATCTCTCCTGATTCATGGACTCGTTCGAGTCGTCTGAGCTTCATTAAAATCTCTTCAGCCTGAGTTTGTTGTTGGAAACTTGGACATGTGAAGAGTTTTTAAAGAGTCTTAGAGACTCAAATGTTCGGGTTCAGGTCTCATAAAGACCTGGTCTGAGACTTTAGAGTTCTTCTTTGACCCATGTTGGAGTTTTTCAACCACTTTGAAGAAACTCAGACTGAGATTCAGAAATCCTGCAGGAGTGAGACGAGAACGAGGGTGAGGGTGAGGGGAGCTGCTCTCTCTCTCTCTCTCTCTCTGTCTCTCTCTCTCTCTCTCTCTCCCTCCCTCTCTCTCTCATGTCTGAACACGCTCCCACTCCTCCTCCTCCTATCCGGTCTAACCGCTCAGTCTCTCTCTCTCTCTCTCTCTGTACTCACACAGACTCTTCAAATTGTCATAAATAGAACAAAGATCGATGAATTCTGAGTTTACGTAGAAAAGAAACAAAGATGACGGATAACGACGAGTTCAGACGTGATTTTAATGATATTTTACAGGATTTGAAGGATAATATTGATTTTAGAGAAAAAGATCATTTTATACTTTTAACTGAGAAACGATTGAAGGAATAAGAAGGAAAACAAACTCTAAATGTGACTTTGTGTTTGGATTCTCGGGGACCAGCAAACTTGGATTTTAGTAGAAAACAGTAAAACCACGAGGCCTTTGACGCCCCCGCTCATGCAGCCCCGGGTCTCTGACGTTTGAGTCTGGATCTCAGTTTTTCGTTGATATCCAAACGCCTCCGATGATCCAGCCTGTTACTGTCAGAATCTCTCCTTCTTGAATTTAGTCGTTTAAATTCACGCAGCAGAGTCGAAACCTGACGTCCTTCTTCTCCTGGCTGTTGACATGAAACTGAAAAATACTGAAATATCCCTTTAAATGTGAGACGAGGCGTGTGCAGAGCTACAGGAAGTCCTTATAAGGAGTGACCCAGGTGAAGGTGTCACAGACCCCGCCCCTCTTTTTGATCCACGTCTCACAGCGTTTGTTTATGACCACCTTCAAACTCACGCTCTCATCGTCACTGACTCTCTGTTTTCTCTTCACAGTGAAACTATGAGGCGGCGCTCTCCTCTTCCTCTCCTCCTCCTCCTTCTCCTCCTCTTCCTCATTTCCTCAGTATGGGGCGCCAAAAAGAAAGAGTTCAGGATCTGCGCCTACAACCTGCAGAAGTTCAACTCCACCAAAGCGTCAAACTACAGAGTGATGCACACGCTGACGCGGGTCAGTTCCTCTCAGAGTTCATGTTTCTGGATCAGCGCTGACGCCGCGGCGGTCCTGTAGAGTCCAGAACCAAGTTTGATACTCCTGAGCAAAAACAGACTCGGGTTTGGGTTTAGGGCGGGGTGAACTTTTCTCACAGAACTCCCAGCAACACCCCTGACACCGTGGAAATGACACAAAGGGCTCATCTCTCCGAGTTTAAAGGGATATTCTGACGTAAAATTAATTCAGGGTCAAACCCACCGTAACACTGAGTTAGACCCCGCCCCCTCCAGAGATGAATGTTGTCGACCGCTTCCTTCTCTAGTTATACCAACTTTAGTAACGACCGCAGGATAGCAATACAGAGAGCCACGCCCCCAACCAAAACGCCACTCTATAGCCACAAATAATGCTCAGAACAGCACCTAACTTCATCAACAGGACATATAGGGTCACCGCCGTAGGGCGACATTCATCTCTGGAGGCGGGGTCTAACTCGGTGTTACGGTGGGTTTGACCCTAAATTAATTTTACAGCAGAATATCCCTTTAATGCTTCCATATGTCTCGGTGTGTGTCCAGATCCTGTCTCGCTGTGACATCAGTCTGCTGCAGGAGGTCATGGATCCTCAGGGTAAAGCCATCAAGACTCTGCTGACGGCCCTCAACAGGTACAGTGAAAGGTAGAGCACCACCTCACACTCACTAAACTCACTAACCTCGTCTTCTCGTGCCTGCCCTCTGGTGGTCTGGGGGTCTACGTGCTTCCAAAAGGTCGTCTTACCGAGAACATAGGTATCTGAACATGATCAGGTCGAACCCCTGCTGAGATCTAAAACATGTAGAAAAATATCTGCAGACTAAGAACGAAACCTCGAGGGACGCCACAGCGGGTCGCAGCGTTCTGTTAGAGTAATGTTAGTATACATATATTAATGTTATTATACATATATATGTTATTTTATATATTTATGTTATTATACATATTTATGTTATTATATATATTTATGTTATATATATATTTATGTTATTATACATATATATTAATGTTATTATACATATTAATGTTATTATACATATATACATATATATATATGTATGTTATTATATGTGGTTTAGACAGGAGGAGGCAGAATAGATGGTTTAGATGTCTGACGGTAAAATCCACTCGCTTTGTGAGCCCGTCTGACATGTTTCAGGATTGTGTTGTTCTGTCGTTAGCCCAGTATGCGAGATGGAGGCCGCCATCTTTGTTTTGGTATGTTGACCAATGAGAGACTGTATCTGTGACCAGCTGACCCAGAAAATCTGATTATTTCCTGCTACAAACCGACACATTAGCTCCAAAAATCCTGACCTGAACCAAATTAGTTCACTCTCATAACAAATGCACACATGAGCTGAAGTGCTCATGGGAAATGTAGTCTTCATACTCGAAAGAACCCTCGTTAGAAATCAACCCCTGAAAAACTGCTCACTGTCGCTTTAATGAGAAACGCCGTCAGCTGTGGCGTCTCTCTGATAAACTGAACATGGCGGACGAACAGCTGAAGTGTCAACAGATAAGAACACTAACTTTGCATCACCTGTTCATCACTCACCTGTTTGTGTTTGTGTGTTTGTGTTTGTGTTTGTGTTGTCGACCTCTTACAGGGAAACTGACAGGTACGGTGGATTTTATGAGCATGTGACTCGCCGTCTAATCCTGATTAATTATTCTAATTAATCCCTGTCTGTACTAATCTTAACACCTGTAATCAGAGGAAACACTTTATTTATCGCAGCAGGTCAGCTGAAGGTCAGCTGACGGTCAGCTGACGGTCAGCTGGTTTTGTTGTGGACCAAACTTAAAATGGGAACATACCGTAAAAAAACAACAAAAATCTGATTTATGTCTTTTATTTTTGAAGAAGTGTGGGATTAAAATTACGGACCGACTCCAAACTGTGTTCAGATGGTCTGACAGCTGTTGGACGTTAATCTCAGTCCTAACTCTCGACAGGATCATCCACTAATGAGACGGTGTTTCTCGGCAGAGTTCAAAAATAAAGTGTTAACACCAGTTTATATTCTTTCACAACACTGCTGAATAAACACTAATCTGATGTGGTCGAAGGTTTACCGACGGAGAAATGAACGTAGATTTCAGTTTCTCATGAAAACACTTTTATAAAGTTCAGACAAACAAACAAACGTAGTCGACCAAGTACGAATCCCTGAGGGACACCAGAGATGATTTATTTAATTTAGGAGGAAACAACCTGATTTCATGCTCTCTCTCCTTCTGATCAATAATCAATAATGATCAATAATGCCGCAGATTCTCCTCTAATACACTACAGGCCAAAAGTTTGGAAGCGCGGCCGTTCCAGGCCAGTTGGGAGTAACTTCAAGTTTTTGTTCACAGTCTTTTTTTAACTCCAGTCTGATGTATTTTGGGATGTATTTACTCCATGATCAGATGTTACTTTCAGGGAAATTCACCATTTTACTTCATTTACCTTTAGATAAACATCGATGTTAACAGACCATTGCGAAATATATGTCAGCTAAAGATAATAAGGGCTTAGTTTGAGGGTCGAAAACATTTTCAAGAGTCACAAAAAAACAACAAATCACAGTTGGATTATTCACTTCAACGTTTTGTCTTTTGAGAGTCTGCAGACAAAAATCCTAATAAATCTAAACTGAGTTCAAACTACCGCAGAAATGACCAGAAAGAAGCAACTGAGTAAAGAAACAAAAGTACAGATTTGTACATCGAGGAAAGAAGGAAACACAGGAAGAGAAAAACGCCTAAAGGTGTTTAACAAAGGAGTCGACTACACTCTGAAGGAAAACTCAGAGTCTATGTCTGCAGACAAACTGGTGAACGTCTGAAAGCTCCATGTGTTACACCCACAGTTCAGCATGGAGGTGGTAGTTCATGGTATGGAGATGTTTATCAGGTGATGGAGTAGGAGATTAGTTTGAAGTAAATCATGAAGAAGGAACAGTACCACTCCATCCTCCAGCACCATGCTGCTCCATCTGGACTCAGACTTGTGGCTCATCAGTCTGTTTTGCAGTAAGACGATGACCCTTGTCAAATTATATTAATGAAACTCTGATCTTTTTTGGACTAATCTGATCTTCTTCCAAACTTTTGTCCTGTAGTGAAAAACAAAAGCATGACTGAAGGTTTCTCTGAAATCCACTAACCCGCCTGAGCTGGAGAAGCATGATTCACTTTATTGACACAGAAATTCATCACAAAGGAAAAAATACTGGAAATAAATAAATACTGAGGTACAGACTGGGGGGGGGGGGGCTTTATTGTCCCAGAATGCACTTCACCACTTCACCACCAGGATTAATCAACTGCTCAAGAAATAAAGAGAGATCTTCATTTACAACAAAGTCCCAGATATCCAAGAAAAAACCCTAAACCTGTCTTTTAGAGGCTCCTCCCCCCGGTGGACTGGCCTGTTACCCCGTGATGATGATGATGATGATGATGATGATGATGATGATGATGATGATGATGATGATGAAGATGAAGATCGTTTGTTTCCTTTATTTTTTTGAGCAGTCTGTTAAAGGTGTTGTAGTCAGGATCTGAGGGAGAAATCTTGAATGTAAACTCTACCCCTCCAACCAGTTTTCCCCTCAGCTCCTCCCCTCCCCTCAAGCCCCGCCCACAAACAGACGCTCCTGCTCGCTCGTATCGTTCCAGTTAAATTCAGATATAATGCAGATAAATACTTCAGATCATTACAAATGGGGCCCAGTCAAGGTGAAAGTCAAAAGCATTGGTGCTACTGTAGATGCCAACAGACTACCAGCAAACACAATGTTTGCAGGACTTCTACAACGAGGATAAAGTGACATAGTCCAGGACCCGAGGGAGGACAGTTTAGCGATGGCGCTACAACACGCTACAGCAGGTCCGTTTGACAAGAAACACTTCTGTTACAGACACTTGTCTTACTTTGTTAAAGCGGTTTACCTGTCCAGCAGAAAGGTTACAGGGTCACCAAGATCCCCAAGCGTCCCCCATGGTTTATGTTGACCCGGCTTTTTAGCTCTTGTCCGGTCTACCTCCGTTTTAAGCGCCCGTTATTCCTCCAGAGTCTCCGGTATTTACTTTGTTTTCTTGCTTGTGTCGGCAGTCGTGGCCAAAGGAGGATTCAGACAATTTTCCGAACTTTCTGGTTGGTTTCTACTGTCCGATATTGTAGCACGCTAACTTTGTTTGGGCTCCTGAACGACACGGGGGAGCAGCGTCT